CTTGGTTGTCTAATATTGTGACAGCCTGGCTAGACCATCACCAGTGTCATTTTCTCTTCCTAGGGGAGTAACTAGGCATTTCCCAGTCTCTTTCATTCATTGTGATGATGTGGCCAATTTCTAGTCATTGGTAGCTAAAGTGATGCATAATTATTTCCAGTCCTGTCTCATAAAATCCTCCCAACATAATCCTCTACTCTTTCTCACCCTTTCCCCAAATATGCAGCTGAAAGAAAAGAGTTTCAGGTCACTAGGGATAGTGGAACCACCAATTCTAAGGATCTTGGGTCTCATAATTACTGCATAAAAGAGAGTCTCTCTTTTAATCCACATTGGACCATGACAAGGTCAAGAAATAAACATTTACAGCATAAGCAAAAGAAAATTTGCAGTTGTTGGTTGTAGTAATTAGTCCATACTGACTAATATATCTATTAATATAATATTAAGAGTAGGTTTTGATTAATTATAAATGCCTACAAAATTCAGTTAAGTTTGGAAAATTTGCAAGAACTTTATTGATAGTATTTTTACTGTATTTTCTAGTAATGCATTCTTCTTTTAATTATATTAAAGTTAGAGAGCACTGACACCTGCCTATTGCCATAGCTTGCTTAATACTGGATTCCTGTGCTAATCAGTGGAAAAGAAGAGATAAAAAGATAGTAAAAGTCATCTACTCAATTTCTCCTTGGATGCTAAAAAATTTTGTTCATATTTCTTCTACTCAGTAGGAAAGTAGTACATTCTGACTTTCTGTTTGCTAACAATGAAGTTTTTCTTGGTAGAAATAGAAAAATGAAAAAAAAATAGCAAATAGAAAAATGTGGCATCTTAGAACCAGAAGAGATCTTAGGAATTATGTAGTTAAGGCTACTAATTTTAGAATTGAGACATCTAGTGAGTGAAAATAATAGTTTTTGGCAGAGACAAGAATTTAACTCAACTCTTCTTAGTTTTCTAGCGTTATTTCCATGAAAGCCTCTTCCTCTACCTGCTATGAACACCTACCCACAAACCTCCACTTATATTTTATGTTCTATGGCAATGTTTAAATTGAAAAAGTAGAGGGTTAACATTTTGGCACTTGTCATTGTTTCTTTTTCTCTTTTCTCCCAACTCCCCCTAAAGTCATGGTCCGTACTCAAAATCAAGTTTAAGAAGAGCAAAGTGTTTTGGAATTAGATTTTGGCTTCCAATTAAGAGTATGGATTTTTGGTGAGAAAATGACTCTTGAAAGCCAAATTAAAAGATATCGACGGCTTGCTTAACCATCCCCAGAATAATGTTTAGTGTCAAAATTAGTACCATTAACAAAAACAGCATGTGAACAAGTAAGTGAACCAAGAGAGCTTTGTTTTAATGTACATGACAGTGCTTCAAAGAGTGTAAGAATGATTCCACACCAGTAATCACAGCAATACACAGTGGGCATTCAATAAGTGCTGACTGATGCTCTCCTTCCATCTTTACGTTACACAATACCTAAAACATTTCAGACAGATGTGGATTCGATCCCTGTTCAAAGTTGTCCCTAAGGAAGGTAATTTCCAGCCTCCTGGTAATCTATTTAAGCCTGAACTGCTCTCATTTTATTTTAAATTCCTCAGGGGGCATATTTCCAAAGCTTCTGTCTTGTGAGTCTTTAAGAAGCAAAGGCTTCCATTTTGTATTGTGACCAAGCTGATTTTGCCAATCTTTGACCATTGCAGAGAGTTTGGAGCCTCAGTCAGGGCAGGGCCGGAAGTGAGCAGAGAATTTTTTTATATCTGGATATATTTAGGTTTCAATCTTTGTTGTTGTTGTTGCTTAAATGGACTGAATGACATTGAAAGTGATTTATTACAAGTCACTTGAAGAAATATATATGTATACACACAGATCTTCCTGAATAGCAACTGATCTTTCTTAAAAAGTCAGTTCATCGTGGAAAGAAATATCTCACAAATTTGTCCAACAGCTGTATTTTCAATGGATGTGTTCTCTCTGAGGTCTGCCATCTGTTCCAATTATTCCTTCATTGTTTTTGGTGTGAAAGCATGACAGGTTTATAACCACTATGAAAAATTCCTGGAGTGTATTTCTTTTCATTTAGGGAGGGGGATTGACTTTTCAACTTTGGAACTTGTGTGTCCGAGTATGGGTGAGGTTGGCTGAAAGCAGATTGAACTGGAACATTCAGAGCTCTCTATATCACATTATATAAAATATAGTGATACTCATCAGAGGGTCACCCTCATTCACATGAGGGCAGAGTAATTTTCAAAGTGCTGTATTTATTTAGGAGTGTTGCAGAGAGGAGCTCCTTGCTTCCTCCCCGTTCCCTTCCCTCAAAAAAAAAAAAAATTAGGGTTATATTCCATTCGGTAGAAGAAATGCTCACTAAAAGTTTCACATTAAGGTGCAAATATTCTCAGAAGGAGTGATATACACTGTTATTTTTTACCATTCTTACTAGATAGGAAATTTGGTGGGCAAAGAGGGACGTTGAAAGGTTGTCGAGGTGGGGTTATGGGTCAAAGATAGAACAATAAAAGTGCAGTTTTCAACTTTATAATTTTGTCTAAATATAGTTCTATTAAGAAAGTACAGATGCTCCTCTAAAAAGATGCAGAGTATATCACAATCAATTCTAAGGTCTTGATTTGAAAATTCAGGTGGAAGCACACACTTCTGGTGTCCTTGCCTGACTGATGGCCCATTTAACTAAAATCAGCAGTGATGGAATTTAAAAAAATAGCATCTGTCTATCTCTCTTAGTACCTAAAATGAGATGACAGCACTTGGTTAGGGAGATAGGACATTGCTTTTCAAATAAAAAAAAGGCATAGTACTATTTTACTTAGTGTCTAACAATCCCACTGACCCCTTGAAGACATGTTGACCTAATTATAGGAGAGCCGATCACTTGGGAAAATATACACACTTCACTAGCAATATTTTTATTTTCATCAGGAAAAGTTATTGGAAATAAAGGGACAAGAATGCAGATATAGGTTTCTTAGCCCAATCATTCTGCAGAAGATTTATTTAGAGGGCATATTTAATAATAATAATAATAATAAAGTTACTCTTTCCATACCATGTGCTTCCAACACCAGACAGGTAGCAGGGAGTCAAATTGGTTGTGTATTCACGGTAAAAAGTGAAGAGAGTTGACTTTATATGGTTAATAAAATTAGTATTGATCAAAAGTTTGATAACTCATATATAGTCTTTTTAAAAAATTTGTTGCTAAATTAAAATATCAGAACAGTTCATCTAAAATCTGATATTTTTTTTCATGAAAAGTGGAATATCTAAAAAACTTGTGCTCCAGTGTTCACATCTACAAATGACTGACCTGAAAGATAGCTACCCTCTTTAGATGAGTCATGTGGTCTCTAATTCTTCAGAGTAGCTACCATTCTCTATTCCTTCTCAAGCAAACATGCTTTATTCAGTTATGATATCTGCTTGGTCTCTGTGGGCATTTTGAATTTTTGATCACTAAATAATGTCAAGGGTTGAACTGGATAACCTTTCATACAACAAAAGTAATAACACAAGCAAACTGAATCTATCTTGGGTCCTTAATTATCTGACTTGTCTATAACTAAGATTTCTGCTTATTGGACCAGCTCAGTGGTTAAGGTGGCCCCTGACTCCTTTCCTTTGGAATACTTATCAGAAAATTACCAATGACTCACTTGAGAAGAGCAGGCTGCCACTGCATTAGAACCTTATACAATATAGGTTTCTATAGAGAGAAAATAGTAGAGAGGGAGCTTTCAATAGAGAGGAAATCAGTAATTATCCCTGAATATAGAATATAGTCTTATACATTAGAAATGAAAGACATCTTATATGAATCAATGATGCCTATAAGGCAATAATATCCTTAGGGAGAGCAGTAGTACAAAACCAAGGAATAGGAATGTTTGGAAATTTTAGTTATCATTGACTGAATCTAGCATACTGCCTGGGCAAATTATAATTCAGTCTTTATCTTTTTTCTTTTATAGATATAGCTTTGCTTTTACAGCTATTGACATAGAAACCTAGCCTTTTAACTTTTATCATCCATATGTATAATTAATTTTGTTATATTCCAATATAAGTTAAAGTAAAAACACTAAGCCTGTATAGGTACTAAAGAAAATAATGTCAAGAAGATTAATTAAGAAGATTTTTTAAAAAGATATTTGTTTGGAGTAAAATAATAAAATCTATAGACAGATATTAAATAGATATCTAGTGGTAGAACTTTAAAGAAATAGTGAATTCAAAGTTTATTAGGTTAAATATCTGGGAATGGTCAATTCAAAACATGCCTCTGAACTATAAGGGCTTTTTCCATATTTATTTGTTTATTAAAGGCATTGTACGCCTTCTCAGGATGTGGAGTAGATATCTCCGAGCCCATTCCAATTTATACTTTATAACTAATACTGCCTTTCTCAGTCTTGGCTATGCCTTGTCTCTCTTACCTATAGGTGTTCCCACTCCATAACCTTTGGAGTCAATGAGGCCCCCGATCTGAGTGAGGTTGCAGTTCCTCTGCGTCACATACTCGATGCTGGTGGACTCCATCAGCAGGGCATAGTCAGTGGTGAGTACGCGTTGGATCCCTTCATCGCTGTTCTTTATCAGGGTGGTCTGCTGCCTGCTGCTCATGAAAGCCCACATCTTCTCATAGGTAGATATCTTTGACTTCTACAGGGAAAGAAAGCAAATCCATCAGCAGAAGAGTGCTGAGAAAATATGTCCTAAAGCTATTCAAATCCCAGTGGTTCAAATGGTATAGGGAAGGTGCTTCATCTTCAGGTAGGAAACTAATATTGATGGTCCTGGGACTTCAGTTTGGTAGTTGAGAAGAGCCCAATTTACTACAGAAAAACACTTAGAGGCACCAAGGCAACTATTGAGAAAAAACAGATCTTGCCTGGTTGATGTGAGACATTGGCTCAAGGTCCTTTTGTTGATTTTAGTTATGGAAGGAAGAATACTGGTATCAATGACGACATATGCCTAATGAACTGTGAGCACTTAAGAACAAGTTCTCAAAGCCCACTGGGCCAAGGGTGACTAGCTCCCTCTAGGACTTTACTCTTTTACTCTATTTCTCTTCAATCACTTCATTTCAGCAGGCATTGTTTTACTAGTTTCTGATATGTACGTTTCAGTACTTGATCCAGCATTCCTTGCCTAGGAACAGCTCTGGGATAAATCACATGCTTTCTCTGCTTTATTGATGAAAGAATTACCATCCACTCATCTTTTATAGAAAACTTAGAATATAAATGCCCTTTCCAATTAAAATGCACATCAGAAAACTCTTTGGATTGTATTTATATAACGTTTTATGTATATATTCAGATTTAATTGAAATTATATTTTAGATAATGAAGATAACCTTTCATTTCAGTGTTTTATGCTTCTTCTGTTTTTTTGTTTTTTTATTCTTGGCTTTTTTGATACAGTCAATAGTAAACCACATATGGTATATATTCTACATGCATCTAAACATTCCACTCTCTCATTACCTTACTTTCTTTGTTAAAATATATTCTCTAAGTTTTTGTATCGCTTAGATATAAATTCTTTATTTTTTTGAATAGGGATCTATGATTAGACATTCTACATTTTACTCTATAATTTCCATATTGTTCTAATTATTTTTTCTTAATTTGTCTTCATTTGCATCAATTCTCCCCTCCATTTATTTGGAAGATGAAAGACTTCATGAGAATTACTGCTCTCACACATGTATATAGTACTCACACATTAAACAACTTCCTTGGTGGGCACAGGGTGTATCATCTCAATAGTGCAGAGAAGTTTAAATGTGATGTAGGGTCATAAGCAATAAATAGAATACTTGTGGAATCAACTCTAGTGTGGGAATTCATGCTCAAGTGTTCCTAGGAGCTCACTCAATTCCTAACTCTATTTAAGACCTGGGTTAATGCTATAGGCTTTATGAGTGAGGAGAGGACAGATGGCTTTATTTTGGGTTGTTAAGCATTGAAAGAGTGGCTTGAGAAAGGTCTTGTGAGACAATCAACAATTCAATAAACAGTACCTTATAGATACAGGTATTTTATGAAAGCTATTCTTTCATGATTAGGCCCCTGTTGAGTTACTCCTTAACCTCAGAGATATCTGCAAATTGGATCTCATGTCTCTATGACAAAGACATGTTTTGGAGGTCAGGGTCATGCTTCATTTGTTGTGTGATTTTAGCCTCTAGATGTCTGCTAATGCTACATTTATAATAAAGAGCTACTTGTACCAGAGCCAAGAGGTCAGTCTGTGTTTTCACAATAAATGCATAGCTGGGAAAATTATTTCTCCATTAGGAAACTACCTTAAGGGGAACTAATTTTCTTAGAAGTAGAAAGCTTTAAAGTTGTCAGAGACTTTAGAAATTAGCTCATTCAATCTGCTGTTTTCACAGAGAAGGAAATGTTGGTACAGAAGGTTTGGAGACTTTATGAAAGTGACAAAACTAGTTAGTATCAGAGCTAATACTGAATCCTAATTCAATGATATTGATATCTAGTTCATCGCTCAGTCCACTGTACCATACAGATTTTAGGTAGGTGGATGTCCATATTGCCAAAATTCTTCAAAGAATAATCTCAATCTTATTTGCTTTACCCATGACAGTATAGCTTATATTTGTGGACTCACAATATTTCATGAGGTGGTTTGCTATTTGCTATTTGGTATCATATTAATACATACTAGGAGTCAGCCTCCATATAAAAACTTAACAAAACGTCTATTTTTTTCACATATTTAAATTTTATTAAATATGAATTTTGTAAATATTTTAAAAAGTAGATTTTTGATCTATGGAAATTGAGGGCAAGATAAAGTAAATGATCGGTTCATTCATGGTAAACAAAGTGTAGGATGTCCTTTTAGGCATCTAAGAATTGAAGGATCTTGAAGAAGATGAAAAGATTCAACTCGAAAACTACATGCCTGTTATTGAGCCCTATTAGGTGTGGTTCTCAAATTACATGCTGTGAAGGACTGTCTGTTCTTTTCAATCTATGGTAGACCTATCTGTGGTCCTGTCGTATGTGACCTATATGCAGCTCTTACCAGACGTGACTCACCGTGTGAGCACGCGACAGTCCTCAAAGTCATCTACACTCAAGAAGTACCAAGAAGATAGTGCCACCGCAATATCTAAGAGCTACAAAACTTCTAAATTCTTACTCTCATTTTTTTTTCTTAGTAACACAAGTCAGCACGTTCTTTATACCACATTTTGAGTAGCACTGTTCCATGGTGCTGGAGGTCATGGACTTAATTTAACCACATTTATTTCTTCTTTCTATGGTTTGATTCTTCCTTCTTGGACTAAAAGATTGTTCTTGGCCTGAACTCACTGAGGTGTTGGAAGGGACACCTAGCTGGCACAGACTCCTTTGAAGAACCTTCTATTGGTAAGGAAACTATCACTTGGTGAAAGACTAGATCAAGTTGAAGGTACAGGAAACATTTTAAATTCCTTTGACCTTCTCCTGCTCTTCTTGGTCCAGCCTAATAATGGTAAACATAATGGAATAGAGAATAGCATCCTTCTGCTTTTATTCAATGTTCTCTTTTATTATTTAAAATGTTTGCCGTTGTGGAGCTCCATTTTATTCCACATTTAGAATTATAGATTATTTGAGAAGCTAGGGAGCTTAGAAGTGTCTGTGGATGGCTCAGACACCTTAGGATATAGTGAGTTTTCTACCACTGGAAACCTACAAGGTGAACTTCATAGTTGGAAGAATTTCAGTTAGGAATCCTTCAGCCCTCAGGTTCTGCTCTCTAGACCAGTCCTTTCATATTACTTATGCAGGTTCTGGCCTCAAAGACAGTTAGGTGACACATAAAAGTCATACTGGTTAGTGAAAGAGCCAATGCAGAATTAAGGTCTCTTTCTTCATTACTCCTGAATTCCGTCCACTGTCACACTATGTTCTATAAAGTTTATTTTTTGTTAGGTCAGAAAGTGCAGTTTGGGAAGTAGTCAGTTTTATTTATTTTTTAAATAGGTTTTCTATTTTTAAGACATAAATCTTAAGAATTCTGAAAAATAGGAGCGTATTCCATGGAAAATTATTGTAAATAATCAGAAGACCAGGTAAACTGTTTGAATGGCAATTTCGATGTTTTTGCCCTTCTAAGTATTCTATAGTTACAGCCTGCTAAATCTCTCTAAATAATACACATTTAAAAAATACAAACAGAAATTGCCTCTTATTTCACTGAATATGTCAAAGGTTAATTAGAATACTTATAAAGTACTCTGAGCTTCTTAGCAAAAATTGCTAAAACTGAAAAGACCTAATTTATTAAATCTTAAATTATCCAGTTTTTTTTAAATCCTAGAAGGGCACGAGATTTAGATAAATTCATTTTGTCTGTTTAAACCTGATTATGTGGCTATTCTGATGCTGATGAAACATTGTTGTCAAAGAATAAGCATTTTTTTCATCCAAAATCTGTTATAAAGGAGTGTTACTATTTTAGCATTCGATGACCATCACTTATTTCTCTTTTTTTGCCTGTAATGCATACAAGTTAAATCCTCACTGGGGAATGATTTATAATGTGTCTCTGTGCAGTTAAAAACTACCTTTTGAAAATGGTAATAATAACCCCCACATGCAGAGTTTACTTTGTGCCAATCACTATTCTAAACACTTTACATGTATTAATTCATTTAATCTCCGCAGTGATCATATGAGAAAGATATTATTATTTTTTCTTTTTTCACAGATGAGGAAATGGAACACACCATGAAGAAATAATGAAGTCAGGATTTGATACCAGCGACCTGGCTCCAGTGTCAGTGTTCTTAATCAAAAAAGAATCAACTATTTGTTTTAATACACAGAACATCAAACTCATGACTTGGCTAATGTTTCAACAGAATTAACAAATTTTCTAAAGAAATAACTGCAGTAAGTAACTGTGGTATCTTTCTATTACTAACAGAACCATTATAATTCTTGTAGTCATTGCATAATATATGAGAAATATTTACATGAATTTAGGCAGCTTATATTTGTTTAGACAAAAAATTAGACACTGTTTTAGGAGGTTCAGTAGTTGGAACCTAGAAGAATATGTAGATATTGCTTATGTCTTTTTATTTTATAGCGTTTTGTATTCCATATAGTTCGTTGTTTTTAGTTGTAGGCTATCTGTTCTAACATGTAAAGTAGGTACATTTCTGGAATATAACATGGTATTAAATGTTATAGCACCTCCAATTTATAGATATATCTCTCTAATGTTTCATTTTTACTGAGACAAGCATTAATTATCACATTATTTCTTCAACCAGGTTATGGGGCTTCTATAGTGAAGATATATAATTTTATTATTCAGTAGAATGAATAAGTATTCAATTCTACTTCAGACCAACATGTCTGAAGATTTTACAGGTAGATCTATGTTTATATGTGTTTATTTTTACATATATCCTTAACCCCACACACATATATACACACTGGGGAAATTACCGATAGTTGATCTTTGTTATCTTATCCAAAGTGATATTATAAATGTAGTAAATATATGCATGTTAAACTAATGAAATACCCAAAACAATTACATTTAAAAATCTCCAATATACTTTAGATAAATGCTGATTTAAGAAAACCTTAATCAACAAAAGACATGGAAATAAATTATGTAGA